TTTATTGATGGTTTTAAGAAAACATCATCGACAATCGTTATATTTCGGATAAAAAAGATAGCTATTGACATTTTGCAATATACCTATTTATCAATATGGTTGTAAAAAATGCTTTCGTTATACATATTAAAAGATTTCAAACAGCATATTTATCGAAGATTTATTTTGTTATTTTATTGATAATTTAGCCGATCCTGTTGTCTGTATTTTGAAAAATTAGTGCGTCTATCGATAAGCATGCATAAGTAAATATATTGTTTAAGAAATATTTGTTTGTACAAATATAAATATGTATATATATAGTCCGCATTATGTGTGTACCGCCACTCTTATCGGTACATTTCAACAATAATTCATAAATATATTTATATTTATCGATATACTATCGGCATCAAAATCGATATACACTCGCTTCTAAAGATTTTACGTTACATAATTAAAAAGCAGTGCTACCGATATTTTCAATCGATATACTTGTTTATTGCTAATATTAATAAAATATTTATCGATATTGCTGTTGTAATTTATATTCCTAAATTCACCCTTATGCATATTTACAAATAACTTTTCTCATTACAAATCGATATATTTATCGAAATATTAACCGATAGCAGTGTTATATACATTAGCCGATTCGAAAACGAACCTCATTCCCATTTGTGTCCACACCAGTATTCAATGGGAACACGAATAAACTGCAAAAAATTTTTACAGTTTATGTGGTCGATTCCATTTTATGTTTACATTAAATAACTAACGAACATTTGCTGCTAAAAGCCACATACATACATATGCATCAAATATATTTAAAGTACCCGCAATATATTTCGAAACGAAGACTTTTCTTTTACACAAAGTGACACTCAACACCAAACCATTACATAAGTACACAAATCCCCCTGGAAGAATTCTTACAAAGAACATCATACTGCTAGTGGAAAAAAGCGCCAGCTAAGCTACACCAAAGCAATTCTAGCACAGAGAACTTGCTTAACCGCAGCGCAGCGGAACGATTGATTGTATTGCAACAGCAAATGGAAATGCAGTTCATGACACCAAGCAGTGCAGTAAAGAGCAAATAACCCCAACCAAATAGAAATTCAAACAAAACCTCACAGCCACAGACACAGCCATCCAGTGAGCGTTAGCAAATCCCTCATAGCAATATTTATACTTAAACCAAATACAGCGAGAAACTAGAAAACTCGCAGGATCAAAGCGAAGGAAGGATGCGCAAACATTGTTGCATGCAACGCTGTATGTGGGAGGCGGTAGAAAAACAAGATTCATGTGTGCGACACACTTTTTCTACACAAGCATCAGCTTACGTATGCATGTGTGTGTGTGTGTGTGTGCGTTTTGTGATGCTGCAAGGATGCAAATACTGCTAACGGCGTGCCGTGAACAGCAATGAGCAGCTCAAATATCAATACAATTTCAATCCATTTAGAAGAACAACGGCAAAACACAAATGGTAACATGCAAACACACTCGTGCAGCTACATATATACATACATACATATATACATTAGAGTGGTCTAATTTTTTTAAGGGGGGAAAAATTTCATCCTAGAAAAGGGGCACCTCCTCAGTTTTTTCCTTTTGATATTTGTAATATCTATACCAACTTTCAATTTTCTAAACTGCTGCGAAGCTGGCAAAAATATTGGTGATTTTTATAAAATACTACTGTTGCCATGACAACATAATTTGAAAATCTAATTGCCTTGCAGAAAAAAACATAGTTATACATATTGGAAGAAATTCTTGTGCCATAAAAAAAAAGAAATAAAAAATAAAATCATTTTTTTAATAAATTAAAAATTCTAAAAAAAAGTAATTAAAAAAATAAATTAATTAATTAATATAAAAAAAAAAATGCCTGCACCAGGACTTGAACCTGGGACGTCAGGCATACCACGCGAGTGCTTTGCTCTGGTGGCTATTGCCACTGTTGGAGTGCCGAGAGCAAAAAGGCATACTTATGCTTTTAACTGGGGATGAATTGGCCGACCATCTCATTAACTGGTATGATGCTACTAGTATTTCTACTAGTAGATGCTAATGCATAGCCTGACAATTGACATCTCGTAGGACATCACAATGTTAAAAATACCACTCGCTAACATTGAAAAAGGATAGAACGTGAACTAGTTGGACTGAAAAGAAAACTGGTAGAATTCTAGTTCACAACTAGTAGCTTTTCCTGCAGGCTTTCCACTGACATACATACATATGTACATCCTCAGACTAGATACATGAGAGTTGAACATGTCTGCCAATGGCAGCGTATTTGAAAGGATATTTCAAAAACTTTTCGCAATGCATACAAGCGTAGCAGCCAAGTGTGTGCGGAAAAAGTGAATTGAACGTATTTGGGGGGAAAAATAGAGTGAAAGTTGTGCTAGAAAGATGTATGTGCACAGATAAAGAAAATAGAAAATTTTTAAAATAACCTTTTAAAGCTTGAGAGAAATAAAAATCCAGATTTCTTCAGTGATAGCACGGAGTTAGGAACGAAGTTTGTGAGTGGGATGCTTTTGCGGAGAGTGCCGTTATTTATAAATACGAAATAGCGTTTAAAATGACTTTGCCGCCGTATGGGTTAAGGTCCAATGACACTCTTCACGGGAGGCGGAATTTTACTCATCGAGTTGGAGAACGAATATTCTCATCTCATCAAGGCTTCGGCTACACATAAAGAATCAAATTTTTCATTAGTTTCACACCTTTATCTCAAGATCCTTCAAGCCAAGACAAAATAAGAGCCGTGCTGAAGAATTATTGACTCTAAACAAATCTGCAGTAAGTGGTCTTACCGGCGTGATTACAGAGCACTGTGTTATGGCATCTTCCTCTGAAGAATTTGTGGGGACGAGGAAGAAGAGCAATCGATAAACAACTTCCTACATATGTCAATGCCTAGCACTCCAGACAATGCGTCTCATGCATTTAGGAACACGATTGAAGT